AGCTGTTGCAGAATGTCCAGACTATAACTTCACCACCTTCTTTGATGTCAAAGGCCATGCAAAGATGGCAGCTGATGCTCTCAAGATGTACATGGAATTTCCACAAGTATACAATAATAGTGTGGTCTGCTCATTCCTGTCAGATGTAAGATGAGACAAACAGATCAGGATATAGTGACAGCTCTGGCTCACAGCCTGAGCCAGGGCTGAGAATCTGGCTCAGTGGTCCCTCAGGCCCTGAGTTCGATCCCCGGTACCAAAAAAACCCCCAAAAGTAGGACGCAGCCTGAGCCATACAGGAGATGAGAAACGCTCGCCTGGATACTTTCCACAAACAGTCTGTGCTAGTGATAATGGATTTTGCTTGATTGAAGCATGCATAATATCTTGTGTATACTTGTATGGAATTTTAGCTTTCCTCAGGCAAAACGAATTTGTATCTGTGGACTATTTGAAGAAGTGGTCAACTAAATGAATCCACATTGTTTTTTTTTTGTTTGTTTTTTTGTTTTTTTTTTTTGGTTTTTGAGACAGGGTCTCACTACATAGTGAGACTGACCTGGAACTCACTATGTAGCTCAAACTGGTCTCGAACTCACAGAGATCCTCCTGCCTCAGCCTCCCGAGTGCTGGGATTACAGGCATGTGCCACCACGCCTGGCTGAATCCACGTTGTTGATTGGACAGTGAGTACCTTTGCTGAAAAAAGTTAGTGTGAGAGCCAGGCATGGTGGCCCACGCCTGTAATCCCAGCACTCAGGACACTGAGGCAGGAGGATTGCTGAGAGTTTGAGACCAGCCTGGGCTACACAGTGAGTTCCAGAGCAGTCTAAACTACATAGTGAGACCCTGTCTCAAAAAACTAAAAAAAAAAAAAAAAGTTACTGTGAATCCCATCTTGGTTCCAGCTGTATCGCTGACAGAATGCTGGAGGACTAAGTATTTCTGGACTTTCACCCCAGGGAGGAAACAGGTTCAGAAACTGGCAATTGGCCTCATGCAGAGATATCAAGGTACCCTCTGTGCTGGCCCAATCTCTTGGAGTTCAGTGGCTCACACAAGAAATAGTAACTGCATTTTGTTATTGTTGCTGGTATTTTATTTTTTATTTTTTGAGACAAGAACTCACTTATGTAGTTCAGGCTGGCCTTGAACTCACTGTGTGGCTCAGACAGGCTTTGAATTTGTGACAGTCTCTTGCCTCAGTCCCCAAGTGCTAGAATTACAGGTGTGCGCAACCCATCCTATCTTCATAATTGCATTGTTATCTGAACAAACCAAAAGCCAGTGTTGCTGCCAGACGCCATGGACTGCCTGGCTATGCTTGGGTCAGGGATTTAGCTCAGTGGTGACACTGCCTGCCTTGCAAGCGCAAGGTCCTGAGTTTGATCTCTGTTCCAAAATAAGTAAATAAATAAAATAGAATATGCTATGCTTAAGTAATGTATTTATTTCAAATATTCCTATTTAGTTCTGTTAATGTACTATGGATGTCAAACTGAGGCCATACTAATAAAAGCATTAAAAAGAAAAAAGTGTACATCTATTAAACTAGATGAAAGATGCTTTGGAAATTTTTGAGAGCTGATGCAGTCTTTTTAATTTTCTGGCTTATCGCAAATCATTGTTAACCATTTGAGTTGGAGAGAAAGGCTGAAGAGATTATTGCCATAGCTAGATTGGAGTAGTAATTGTTCTGTATTTGTTGCTGACCTTGAAGTTACAATTGGCAACAGAAAGCTTAGCTGTAGCAGACAGTTGAATATAAACAAACCCTAGCGTACACCAGGCAAAGTAATATGTTAAAGATATGTGTGCTTGAAATAAACTTAACAGTAATATTTTCACACTCCAAAGTTGTTACCACTGTTCTAAATAGGAATAAAGTACTGTTGTACTAGCTATATCAAACTTTTTTTTTTTTGATACTGAGGATCAAACTCGAGACCTTTTGCTTGCGAGGCAGGTGTGGTGCCATTGAGTTAAATCTCCTGCTCTGTTGAAATAGTTAAATTAACACCGTTTGTCTACCTCATATCTAAAATGCTTGGGACATTAGTATTTTTTATTTTTTATTTTTGGAATATTTCCGTATACATAGTGAGATATATGTGGGACTTGGGACCCAAGACTAAACACAAAATTATTTATGTTTCATGTATACCTTATGCACAGCTTGAAGGTAATTTTACACACCATTTTTAGTTCAATTACTTTTGTGTGTGTGTGTGTGTGTGTGTGTGTGTGTGTGTGTGTGTTTGCGCCCGCGTGCTCGCGTGTGTGTGGTGTTAGGGTTCAAACCCCAGGCTTTGCATGTTAGGCCAGCACTGTACACTGAGCTACATCCCCAGCCCTTGTGCACCTGCAATTTTACTGCAACTCAGCACATGAGGTCAAGTGTAAATTTCCCCACTTGTGATGTCATGTCACCACCCAACAAGTTTTGATAATTGGAACATTGTGGATTTCAAATTTCCAAATTGGGGGTGCTCAACCCGTCATGGTAATGGGCAGGGACTGGAGGGAAATAAAGGAAATTAATGTCTGGATTGTTATCCTGACGTAGATTTCCTTTATATATCATTTGGTATGATGGAATAGGCATAATAAGAGCAGGCTTTTATCAGACAGTAATTATTTATTGTAGGCCACATAATTTACCAGGTAACATATCTGAATCAGTTACTGTTTGTTTTCAGACAAGATCTATTATGTAGTTGATGCTGGCTTTGAACTTGCTATGTAGCTTATGCTGACCTCAGACTTGCTATGTAGTCCACACTGGCCTCAAGCTCATGATCCTCTGTCAGCCTCCCAAATGCTGGTATTATAGGCATGCGTTGTCACACCTGTCTTCTTCATCAGTTTAATAATGATTTTATGATAGGGTTCTGTCTTAGTTACTTCCTTGTCATTGGGATAGAATACCTGCAATCACCCCCACACCCTCAAGTTAAAGGGAGAAAGGGCTTTTTTTTTTTGGTTTTTTGAGACAGAGACTCACTGTGTAGTTGAGACAGACCTGGAATTTACTATGTAGCCCAGGCTGGTCTCAAACTCACAGTGATCCTCCTGCCTCAGCCTCCCGAATGCTGGGGTTATAGGCGTGTGCCACCACACCCGACTGAGAAAGGGTTTTTTAAGCAAGCAGTTTGTAGAGGTTTCATTCTATAGTCAGCTGTCTCCAAGGCAGCGTGGCATGGCGGAGGAGGAACGTCCATTTTTCGGCAGGCAGAAAGCAGTATGTGACAAAGTAGCAAACCTGCCCTTCCCTTTTGTTCCATTCAGGCTATAAGCTTATTGATTGGTGTCGCCCCCACCCAGGTTGGGGCTTCCTGTTATCTATAACCAAAACTGTGCTAAACCAGTGGACTATTTTAGTTACCACTCCCTGAGTCCATATTCATACAGCCTAGATCAGTCACCTCCAAAAAGCCCCACCTATGAGCACATGAAGCTTTGTGGGGAGATCTAGATATAAGGCATAACAGGCTCCATTGCCTGTTTTTTTTCTTTCTTTCTTTCTTTCTTTCTTTCTTTCTTTCTTTCTTTCTTTCTTTCTTTCTTTCTTTCTTTCTTTCTTTCTTTCTTTCTTTCTTTCTTTCTTTCTTTCTCTCTTTCTCTCTTTCTCTCTCTCTCTCTCTCTCTCTCTCTCTCTCTCTTTCTTTCTTTCTTTCTTTCTTTCTTTCTTTCTTTCTTTCTTTCTTTCTTTTTTGGTATCAGGGATTTAACTCAGGTCCTTGCACTTGCAAGGCTGGCCACCGAACCACTGAGCTAAATCCCCGGCCTTTCTTTCTTTTTTGAGACAGAGTCCAGGCTGGCCTCAAACTTATGGTCATCCTCCTGCCTCAGCCTCCTGAATGCTGGGATTAAAGGCATTGCACTACCATGCCTGGGTTGCTTTTTATCTGTTACCTTTTTTGATACTTATATCCTGCTTCTGTAACTCAGAATGATCAAAGAGTATTTTTTAAATTTTCCTCCCTCCTCCATTGATTGTTTGATCCCCTTTTTTCTTTTCTTTTTGGTACTGGGGATTGGACGCGGGACCTTGCGCTCGTGAGGCAGGTGATGGCACTGCTGAGCTAAATCCCCGGCCCCCTTTGTTCTTTCTGTACATGTTTGTCGTACATAATGATTACATTCCTTGGGTGGAGTTGATACATGTATGCTATGGCTTGTGTCTAGATGTCCTCCAAAGCCTCAGGAGATCATAGGTGGGGCTTTTTCAGAGGTGTCTGGTGCCGGGACTAAGGATGTGTGATCACTGAATTAGTGCACTGATGGGTTTGGCATAGTTCTAGGTGCTGCTAATGTTACCTGCCCCAAAGGTGGGTAGGCTGGATAGAATGTGAAAGGACAGAAGCTGCTGGTGTTACTTGTTGCTTGCTGTCTTCTGCCTGCCTGTTCTGCGATGCCTCTCTGCCATGCCACCCTGCCTTGGAGCCAGCCAACTATGAACTGAAATCTTTATAAGCATAAGCTACATAATAAACCTTTCTTCCTTTAACTTTGGGGGTCAGGTATTTTGTCTCAACCATGAGAAAAGTAACTAAGACAACATACATAGCACATTTTAATTCTTTCTAATTCCCTTACCTGTCCTCCTTTTCCCCTCTCTCCATCTCTCAGTCCCCTTCCTATTTGAGAAAAATCTCTCCCTCCCTCCCTCCCTCCTTCCTATTAAGTAACTTTTATTTTGCTCTTAATTTTGGGGGCTTTTCATATAAGAGAAATTATGTTTTGTTTTGTTTTTTTGGTACTAGGGATTGAACTTGGGCCCTTGCCACTTGCAAGGCAGGCGCTGGAACCATTGAGCTAAATCCCCACCATAAGAGAATTATGTGGTATTTAAGCTCATGGGTCTGATTTATTTCATTTAACTTAATGGACTCAGAGTACATCCATATTCCAGCAGGTTACTTACATTTGTCTTTCTTTATGGTAGAGTAGTACTTGATGTAAGAATATTATTAAAAGTGACTTTATTTTCCTTTTAGGAGCAGCCACCATATCCTGGCTACAATGCTAACTACTGGAATTCTGCTGCACGACCGAGGGCCTCATACCCAACCACATATGCTGTGCGACCAGAGTTACAAGGCCAGGTATGTAAATTGGCAAGTTGGCAAGCTTCTTGCATTTTTTTGTAATGAACCTGTGTACTTTCAGAACCTTTGGAAACTTCATGATAATGATACAGGTTTTTAAAAATTTCATGGATTCCATCAATCTCACCTTAATATTTTAAGCTCAGAGACAAGAAAGTATCTAGGCAAATATTAACTTATATTTACATTCTTAGGAAAATTTATGTAGTTGTTTGTTTCTTTCTGTATTGAGACGGGGTCTAGTGACATAGTCCAGGCTGGCTTTGAACTTACGATATACCCAGCTGGCCTCAAACACACAGTGATCTTCCTGCCTCAGCATCCCAAGTGCTGGGATTACAGGCGTGGGCCACCATACCTGGCAGGATAAATATTTAGTTACAAATATTTTAAGCATATTTAAGACTACAGAAAATATGTACATGTTTTTATTTAGTTCTGTCAATTCTTCAAGTTGCCACATTTCAGACTTTTTTTGCCAGAGACTCCTGCAGTAAGTCTGTAGTCCCCACCTACCCCAGTGTGAGACACAGGCTGAGAAAAAATCCACTAAGAAACAGAGAAAGCGGGCTGCCAGGACAGCGAATGCCGGTGCAGCTGACAAAGGCACTGGACAGTCCCAGGCACTGACTTTCATTGGCAGTCACTTGGGGTAGAGATGAAGTGTGGTTTCTGTGGAAATGAATGTAAACAAGGCTCATAAAGGACAAAACAAAGCATTCTCCAATTAGGAACAGTTAGAACATTGTCCTTTTAGTGTGGAGGTTTTCGTTGTGGGAACAGAATTTGGGTGCGAGTTATTCTGATCTTTGCACATAGGCTTCAGCCAGACTCACTTCTCTGCATCAGCTTCTTTTTTTTTTTTTTTTTTTACTACCGGGAAAATCAAACTCAGGACCTTGAACTTGCAAGGCAGGTGGGGAACCACTGAGCTAAACCCCCGGCCCAAGACTCACTTCTCAAAACAAGCCAGTTGAGAGGTTAACTCTTACAGTCTGCTTTGAACGTAATATCACGGTCCTCTGCATCTCCCCTTCTCTGTTTGAAAACAGCAGCTGCATCAGGTCTGGTGGCCTTTGAAGGTCCCCGGCCTATAGCAGGTGCGGGGAGTCACTCAGATGCAGCCTTTGCCTGGTTTTCAGCAGTGGTGTCACATCATGCTGCTTGCAGTGAATCCGTCTTGGTCTATCATGGTACATTCTGGGATGATGGCCATAGCAACTTTTTATTTTCTGTATAAAAATAAGCATACCCTGGCCCCTATGTTATTAATTGTATTGAATCATTTACCTTTTAGTTAGAACATACTTTGAGAACACTAGCATCTAAGACATGTCTGTGGATCTATCTTTGTATATATTTACTTTCCATAAGTGGATCTGAACAATTTAAAATGAAAGTCACAAGATCTAATTAAGTTTGTGGAGGTAGCTGTACCCACCTTTTTTGTCTGTGTAATTGTGTTTTCAGGGAAAGGTGAGTACGTCCAGCAGTGGCTTGTCCAGTGAGTTATCCAATGGACCTATGTCACACAGATTTAAAATGTGCCTATCTGACTTAGTTGTCTGTAATGATTTCCTTTATAAAAAGTGTCTCCACCTGAGGTTAGGAGAGAAATGGCGTAGTTTCAGTCCAACTGCTTCCAGCTAAGAAGGGTTGATATAGGAAAGACCGCGGTTAGGGGCTATTTCCAGCAAGCTAATTTAATAGGTTTTAAGTAAGAATCATATTGTAATTTAGCAATTATCAACTTGCTATATAAAGTCAGTCTGGTGGGTTTTGGTAAACAAAATTAGCACATTTGTTAACTTTATCTATGTGATCATTTGGAGTTTGGCAGCTTATAGGCAATAATAAAGAAATTTTTAAAGAAATTAGAGCATGTATAATCAGACTATAAGTACTAAAATAAAAAAGCAGGTTGGGGAAAGAGTCGTGTCTAGAAACTGTTTTTAATAGTGATTGTAACCTGCTGGTTCTTACACCCGTTTATTAATGGAGATTATCTGTAACTGGTTGTGGTCAATTAGTTGTAAACTGCACTCAGACCAGCCATTGGTCTGATACTTTGTCATAATTTTTCTTTTAATTTTAGCTGTAAAATGATTGAAAATTTAATAATTTTGAAAAGCAACTTTAGCTAAAATTTTTTTAAATTCCTGTTGAGATCTTTGAATTTTACCAGTTTTTCCTGTTGACCCATAGCAGAGGAGAGTGCCAGTGTAGTTGGAAACTGCCAGTAGGGATCAGCAATTGGAGCCCCTTCTTATGTACAGCTTTATAACTCTGGTCTTGATTTCATATATCTTTGGATTATTCTTTTCTTCTGGGTGTTTAAGACCAAGTTAAGGTGAGACCTATATTAATGAAAATTAACCTCTTGCTGTCTGTCAAGGTCAGTTAAGTCTCCACAGGCACTACTTTGAACCTTGTATAGAGTTTTTCAGCTCCTTTTAGTGTCAGCCATCAGGGTGTGTCACAATCTTACTTGACCATGTTATTTTCTATGAAAGCATGGGAGATTTTTTCCCTACAAGTGACACTCTTTAGGCACACTGTTGATTCTTGTCATTTTTCTGTCCAACAGTCCTCCCTGCTCAGGAGGTTGGGTGACTTACCAAAGTTGTAGGATCTTGTAGAAAAGGGTCTCTCATGTTCTGGGTTGTTTGTAGACCTTGAAGGGCCAGGGCCAAAATATTGGCTGTCTTCTTAGTCCAGTTACCTTTCTAGGTCTGGTCTCTAAACTTTAGTTGTTAAACACCGAGAAGAGAAGATCAGTAACGTTAGCATTCTGATGGGGGTAGTGAACTTAACTATTATAATTTTACCTGGGTATCAAGCACTTTGAAATACAAAATATAGTTAGAAGACTATTATTATCAGTCATGGTTGCTCTAGCAGTTGAATTCCTGTAAAATGTTAACAGAAAAAAAAAGCTTCAAATGAAGAGCTACACATAATATTTTAGCATGACAATCATGATGAGATTGTCTTTATAACACTTAAATATCTTTTGTTTGTTTGTTTGTTTGTTTTGATACGGGGTCTCACTATGTAGTTGAGACTGACCTGGAACTCACTATGTAGCCCAGGCTGGTCTCGAACTCACAGCGATCTTCTTGCCTCAGCCTCCTGAGTGCTGGGATTACAGGCGTGCGCCACCATGCCCGGCAATATCTACCTTAATATAAAGTAGCCATAGTTAAATGCACTTGTTCTCCTCCAAAAACACAAAAATTTCTCATCTCAATCGTTATCCTTCGATAGGATGCCACCTAAAGAAAATACATCAGCCTATAAATGTCCCTGTTATCATAAGTGGCTAGAGTGTAAGAGAAAAGCAGACACCTGAATCAAAGTTAGATTGCTACCATAAACAATATATTAGAGCCGGGCGTGGTGGCGCACGCCTGTAATCCCAGCACTCGGGAGGCTGAGTAGGATCGCTGTGAGTTGAGACCAGCCGGGGCTACATAGTGAGTCCAGGTCAGTCTCAACTATGTAGTGAGATCCTGTCTCAAAAAACCAATATTTTAGAAAATCTGTCCAGTCAGACAGATTGAATGCATGTAGCACACCAAAAATTAATAATTATCACAATTTTATGTATAAAACCTTGTGCCCTTTTAGTTTGGTACCAAAAGCATCTTTTCAATAAAACTTTGTTTTTTTTCTACAGAAAAATTTAATCTTTTGAAGTTGTCCAGTGTAAACATATTTAGACCTTAACCCTTTGATGAAAAACAATGTAAACACATTACAATAACATATTTAAGTAATACTCATTGAGGGCTGGGGATTTAGCTCAGTGGTTCTGCCTCTTGCCTTGCAAGTGCAAGGTCCCAAGTTCAAAAAATTCATTGATGTAAGTTTCTTATAAAGCTATGAAAACTATTGGGTCAGTCTGTTGTAAGAATATGGAAAACGTTGAGGTTGCCCTAGTGAGCAAAGACTAAAACATATTTCCATGTGGCCGCTCCTTTGTTCACCAACGGGAGTCCTGTTTAGCAGTCTCTCCAAACCTAAGGTCTTCATTAATAACTTTGACAAAGCTTATTTAATAACCTACAAAAACCAGATTATAATAATTAAATGCATTATTTGTAACCAGTTAAAGTTTTGGAGCCATTATATTTATTTATTTATTTATAATTTTCTTTTTCTTTTTTTTTTTGGTACTGGGGATCAAATTTGGGCCCTTGTGCTTGTGAGGCAGGCGGCGGAACCTCTGAGCCAAATCCCTGGCCCAGAGTCATTATATTTAGACAACAGTGTACATGACATCATTTTACCTGTTAGCAAATGCGGGGGAGCATCTCTTTAACTCAAATAGCCTTTATATACAAGCCAATTTAAAGTATAAGCACATATCTTTTTTTAAAATTTTGTTTTGGTGCAGAAGAAAAAAACGTTGATCTAAAAAATAGCTGTGCAGTTGGACAGACAAACATATAAGACAATTTATAAAACTGGAGTGCAAATATACTGAATTATAATATATTTAACCTAATTGAATTACAATATCCTTTTGTAACTTTTAGGTTTATAATTATAAGTAAAAACTTTGTAAGTCAATTAACAGAGATCGCTTTTCTTTGATACCAGGGATTTAACTCAGAGACCCTTGTGCTTGGGAGGCAGGTAGAATGAAAGCTCTTTATGTCTGCAGATGCAAACTTTTTATAACAAGCTTGAAATCAACAAGCAAACATTCATATTTTCTTGATAAATCACTTCTGCACACCTTCTCGGCCTAACTAGGCCTCTGGTCTTGTGTATCTCTCTTTATCCTAACAAAACAAGCATACAAAATCCTTTCATATCAAAAATATATCTCTTCTACTTATAACCTTCTTACTATTTTTCTTCTCACTTATAAACCTTTTGTTACATCTTCAGCTGTTAAAATTTTAAAGAGTACCCCTTTTTTTCCTGCTCTCACATTGTTATGTTTTAAAATTTGTCTGGCTGCCCGTAGAGCAGTAGTACTTGAGTTC